TTTTTCAAGTCGATGGTAAATATTTTTTTTCGTCAGTGGCAACCCTGCATATATATATATTTGGTATTATATAAAGCTTTTGCTGTGCTTTTCTTGGTTTTGATCCATGATTATACTTGGTACGAGCGCGGTTTGATAGGTCAAGAAACTAATTGAATTAAATGGCATTTTGGTTTTTAATATATTCTCCCTTTACCTTTAGACATGCAGCGATTTATCAGTTTTTTTAACACCTTTCAAGTGTAGTAAAAGCTCACTCATTTCGAAAAATTTTACGTTCTAAAATTATAAATTCCGCTTTTGTTTTTCATTTCGTTATGATTAATTTTGAATTACTATGGACAACTAAAAAGAGGATTCCCCAAATAAATATTATGATGCTTCTTCTTCTTCTTCCTCTTCTTGATTGGCACTGTCACATAAACCGAATTCTGCAATCCTGATGTCAACAACAACAGAAACAGGAATCAGTACATTTGCAGCAGAAATTTCTTACTTTCGACATTTTTCTGTTGTTGTTGACAAAATAAATGCCAAATATTTCCTGTTCCCGCTCATTTATCAAAGCAGAAAACAAAAACGATAAAAAATTAAATGAAATAAGTTGCTAAAAATTTAATAGAGTTGAAAGAAATATTTTCTTTGCTAAAATAATATAATCTAGAAATTAGAAGAAAATTAAATTAAAATAGACGAATAAAAATTAAAAAAATAATAATAATTAAATTTAGTAAATTCCAAAAGTTAAATGAGACGAAAATGTATTTTTATTTTTAACATAATATCTATAATCTAACATAAAATTAAGAAAAGAATAAAAAATAAGTTTCTAAAAATTCAATGAAATTAAAAAAGATATGTTCTTAAAATAATAAACGCTAAGAACTATGTATATCCCTTAGACTTTAGACAAATAAAACCCCAAAATCTTGTGAACTATTTATTCATTATCGTGTAAAGTCTATAGAGAAAATCTTAAGCTCGGCTATCCATAACGTATACTTCCTGTACCACTGATTGTTCAGATAGTAAATTTTATCATATTTAGCCATTTATATGGCTGAGGATCTGTTTTCTTTTTTTTCTTTTATTGCCTTACTTTACATACATCCTTTGAACTTTTTACTTAGATATTAACATATAGACATAAAATCTAACACCCAAATTGATAAAAAAATAAATAACACTTTTGCTGCTTTATAAATCGAAAATTTGTATGAAGAAGTCACTTTATAAAGCTCTTTAAACCTATTGTAGTTTTTATGAATAAGGCCATTACGATTTAATTTTTTCGTCTAAAGTTCATAAACGTATTTATCCATAGAATTTTTCTTATAGTAATCATAAATAACAATTGAACCAGCTTTTTGATTTGTTACATTATAAACTTTCACCATTGGTATATGTAGACAATCACTAGAATCCTTTGAGAATCCCTCGAAGTAAATGTCCAGTTTTTGATTCGATTTTGACCGTTTTATCATCTAAAAAATAGCAAAGAAATACACGTAAAGTTCATCAAGCAAGAATTCACAACAAATTTTATAAACTTAGTTTTTCCCCTAAAACACGATATATTAATCTTAATCATAATCCTAAAATCTGAATCTTAAATATTTTCAACCTCATCTTCTCCTTCGCCTCCACCATCTCCTCATTCTCAATCGTATTCTTTGTCTGTATTTTACAGCGCTTGTATCAACTTGCAATCTTATGTGTCCAGACACCATTTGCAGCTATAAAACCTTTGCTTTGCAAAGTTCGTCGGTTGAGAGGTAGATGTCGCCCTATGCACTACGTAGCCTTACCCCACGTCTCCACCTTCCACGGCTTCTGTCAAAAAAGCGGTGTTAAGGCAGAAATGTCAGGTGGAGACCGCAAATTTCCACTGTTAAACCATATCTGTCTTGCCGAATTTCCTGCCATCGCTGTCTTAACCTCAGCTGTCATTTCGTAGCTTGACAACTTAGTTTTCATTTTACCGCGCCAGATACATTGGGTACAGATCGTTCTGATTGGCTTGATGCCATTTTGAAAGTGATATGTTAAGACAGCAATTTGCCCACACGAGAAAGCGGGACAAAGTTAAACAAAAATTTTACAGATATTAAGACACCTTTAGTAGAAGGTGGAGCCGTGGGGTTAAAAAACATTTTTAAATATTTTCATTTGTCTTCTTACCTTTGTTCGCTTGGTATAGCTGAGGTTGCAGCAATTAGGCGCTACCTGTTCGCTAGTCGGCAAGTTCACTTCCATAACCGCCATGCCAGTGCGTTCCACATGAATGGAATGTAAATGTGCGCAGATTTCTAATGTTTTTCTTATAGCCGATGGATTGGAGATCGAGGAGTTTACTTCGAAAACGGTTTTCTCAGGTATCAAGCTATTGTAGCGATAATTAATTTGTAAAGTTGCTTTGCCCTTGCCAATTGAGTTGAATTCTAATTCTCGTATATGCTTGGGAAGCTATTGAAATGAAATAAGAGGGAACAAATGTTATTTAACTAATCAGGTGCTTATCCCCAGATTATTTAGTGAGTAAATTTACCTGAATTTTTTTGTTAAGATCTGTACTGTTTTCACCAACTTCGAAAGTTTGTAGCAGTTGCCCTTGCGCATGCACATCTATCTTCAAATTATTATCCATTTCCTTGTACTTGGCGGCATAGGTGGCCAAGGCGCGCAGTCCCACCTCAGTTTCGAAGGTCGACGCAAATCCACCATTACTATTTCGCTTCAACACTAACCATTTGATAATTGGTGCAATTGGTTTTTTCAATTCCATCAATGTCAATAGTATATAACCCGTTACATAAACATCAATATTACGTGGCTGCTCAGCATATTGCCACCATTTGTAATTACCGCTGGTCTTTGCTTTTCCTTCCAATATTTTTAGTAGCTCAGTGACCATAGGATCTTCACACAATTGCAATACGTAGAAAGACAAAGCAATTGAACGCATGTCGCTACTTTGCTTCACATTATTTTTCACATATTCTAAACCCTTGTTCACAATATTTTCATATTTTTCTGTTGTATGTTGTTGATTTTGAAGAAAGGCAAGTAGCACAGATGCAGTTACACTCAATTTGTCAAGATTCGCGAAATCCAATAGTCGGCCATCTTCTCTGAAGCTTCCGTCTGCCTCTTGTTTGCTGGCTAAAAACTCGAATCCGCGTTTGAGGACACTATCGTCGACGAAACAATATGATTTGGCTTCGCTAAATATGCGCGTCACATATGCCGTTAGCCAAGTAATGCCGGGCTTACGACCCCAAGTACTAAACGAACCATCCGTAAGTTTGTAGGTAAGTTCACGCTGGTAACCAATTTCGAGGTAACTTTTGGCTTGTTCGAAAAGCGTTTTATTCGTTATCGAGGTGCTCTGAAATGGTGAGATGTATGAAAAAAAATATTTAGTAACTAAAAGCAACAAGGAAGAAGTTATTTGTATAACCTTGCAAGGCAAAAGGAAAATCTACGGGCACGAAATTAGTAAATTCACATAGATTATGGGTTTTCGTATCAAAATTTGGTATTACAATTCGCCGTTATTTTCTCAAGATGCTTAAGGAATGATTGGCCGTAGCTGAGGCCTGTATTTACAGCTCATGCAGGAAAACCAAATCACTCATAGGCAAACCACTTCAGGTTGATAAGTCTATCAATCGTTATTCAAAAGCACTTGTGAGACAGGTAGAAGCTAGCGTACTATTTCCTAGAGATGACATAGACTCGAAAACTCCAGGAGGAATCGGGACCGTAAACTTCGGTCCCAGCAGCAAGATATCTGTTCCTATTGAAAAATATCCGAGCATAGAAGGTACCGAAATAATTCTAAGACAAAAGCTGAAGGCTCTCGTATCACATGAATTAAACTGTCATTGAAATATTCAGTATTTCTGTTGGAAATGTTCTACAATTAAGTGATATATACCAATCGATTTCTTTTTTCACCGATAATCTAATTTGGATATAAATTTGTATTTGTAATTTTTATGCAAAATGGAAAGAATAACAATTATTTATGATTTTTATCTAAATAATCTGTAAATAACAGTTATTATTTATTTTTGTCTTAGATAACAGTTATTGAAGTCTTTTATTTATAAAAGACATCAATAAAAATAAGTCACATCAAACGCATAAAAGTCATTACCATTTCTCACAGTTAAGAATGTGTTGGGGAACCAAAGTTTACTACGACTTATACAAATGACTTTTATAAATATGATTTTAAAATTAAAAGTCAGTGACTGGTTTATATTGCTGGCTTTTACAAGTAAAAGTCTTCAATAACTGTTATATAAGATAAATAATTCAAAAATCAAAAATAACTGTTATTTGCAGATTATTTAGATAAAACTCAAAAATAATTGTTATTTTGGATTTATAAAATAAAAAACAGAAAAAACTGTTATTTAAGGATAATTAAAGTAACAGTCAAGAAATAATTGTTAAAGGACGATTTTTTAACAAAAGTTGTAATTGTTACGGTCCCTGCTCAGAAACGTAAAGCTAAGTGCCAGCAGTGCTGGCGCAGCACTTTTTTCGGCAAGAGAACAAATTATAGAAGGTACCCCAAACCCCAAACTTATATCAGCATTTTTTTTTTGGACCGCGCTAATTAGACAATAAATATAAATTTATTTTAAATGAAAACTCACTTATCAGATATGTATGTATGTATGTATTGTTGCAAATCTCACCTGTAAATATTTCAACACCAATAAATTCGGCACCGAATAAATCATATTTTGTTCGCCACAACCGGTGGGACTCCTAATAAGTCGATCGAAATTCTCACCGCTATTGATTAAATTCAGCATAGAGCCCATTAAAAAGTTCATAACCGATATTTCAATATGTTCAGAGCCTGGTACGCTATTTTGTGGTACATTCAATTGAACCGTTTTACTCTCTTCTCCATTAATGTAGAAGTCCATATTTTTCCATATTGTGGTACCTTCGTACTCTACCCGCAGCTGTTTAATGATCGCATCGCTGGCGAAAGGACATTCTGCCGATATTCTTAGAGTTATCATGCCCGTCACTTTTGGACGTATTGCAAAATGTACGGTTTTAGTTTTTTCGCGACCCACATGCGTAGAAATGGTGTACTTTGTTTCACTTAATTTCGAAACGAATTCAAATTCATCATTTTCAATTTCCATGGAGACACTGGCACGCGTGTCTGTATGTAGATAGTTGAAAACTACTACAGGTAGTGTAATTATTTCACCTGAAAAATGCATCGGCGATAAGTATAGTATTACGTGTTTGTTTGGTATTTGTGTAAGTATTTACTTGCCTATTTTTACGGCATAGGGCAAATTAACTGTAACAAAGAATTCCAAATATGTTCGCAAAATTGTTGGACTTGATGTGAGTGCAAATCCAGTTTTCGGGTTGATTGAAAATCCCGTAATCACCCACGATGTAATGGTGTCTGGTACTTTCTCCACGACTGTATCCTGACCATCGACACTGAAATTGAGAATACCCTTTTGAATAAACTGCATACAATTTTAAAATTTTTCTAACGTAAAACCGACTACAGAAGTATTTAGAAACTTCGGGTTCAATACCGCGAGCAAAAGTAAAGACCTTGGCTTTACTATATTCTGGATACAAAACCACTTAGTACTCCCAACTGAGTAAATACTAAATACACACATACTATCTATTTACTCAGTGTAAAAATAAAGAATTTCGGTATCTTCGAGACTATTCCACGATTCGCGAGACTAAATATTTCGGAATTTTCGGGACTGCTTCGGGAGACTTTCGGTACTATTTTGGGATTTTCTACACTCCTTCTGTATTTTCAGAAATTTCGGTACTATTTCGGGATCTTCGGGACTACTTCCCATTGAAATTCAATTCCTTATCACACCACAATTTTGCCTGTACATACAAAGTGTATATAATCATCTTGCACTGGGTTGTGTCTTAGTTTTAGGGCACAGTGGCCTATTCGATTTTAGATAAGAATTGGCACATTTTTCGGATCAATTCTCTTACCGCGAAATTTATGATTGGTAAATTTTATTCATAGGAAAAAATAAAATGGTTTGCATTACTTGGAATCTCGCTTCTTATCGTCTTATTTTTAAGGAAATATGTACGTGTAAGCCAACTGCTGCAGATATGTAAGAGAGTCGGGATGTGACTACCTAAGATCTCTTTAGGTTCTTTACTCTTAACAGGTCAAATTATCGCTTATCATAGCAAACACAAATGCGCTTACGTACCTCATAAAATCATCGAAGGCAAAAGTTTCAAAGAAATTTCGACGAACACGTTTCTTAGGTGCTGCAGCTCTGGCTCTGATATCGATTGCAGTTTGTGTTAGCTCTGAAAAAATCAATTGAAAATATTTAGATAATGCAGGTGCACATATGAGCATAAATAGTGGATGCAGATAAACAGATGAATGCTTCGATGTCATATGAAGTCAAATTTTCTAATATCTACAATATTTTGCACGAATAGCTATTTATTTTTTTTTGTGAATTTCGCAGAGAGCTCATTGAGTAAACAAGCTGATATAGTTACTAATTCATCGCAGTTTTCGTATTTCTGTAAATTACTGTTATATGACAGGTGGGCGTGGTTCTTGTTAGATTCCAAAAATGTTCACCGTGTTTCTTAGTGAGGCTCTAAGGAATGTTCGTACCGAGTTTGGTGCGGATTGGTGAAGGGACTACGGAGATACAGCATTTCATCGTAAGTGGGCGGTGCCACGCCCATATCCAAAAAAAATTTCATAACTGTCTTATTTTATGCCAAAATTCTACTTCGCGTACCAACTTTCAATAATTTGGAGCCAGTATTTACGGGAATGTCGTAGTTTTTGCATATTTCGTTATATACCGTTATATGGGAGGTGGACGTGGTTATTGTCCGTTGTCACTCCTTTTCAATCCCAACCTTCCCTAGATAAAGGGAAACTTACCTACCAAATTTCGTGGACATATCTCAATTTTTTCTCGAGTTATTGTGTACACGGACAGACAGACGGGCGGACAGACATGGCTTAATCGATTTTTATTTTCATTCTGAGCATTTATCGATTCGTTTTAGCTGTTACAAACAATCGTTATGTGCTGGAATGCTCAAATATTTGCGGACCAGATCTGTCAATTGGTCGTATTTCAGTTTATTTTTCCATCAATCGAGAGGATTTTCACCGAGATTAGCTCATTTTTCTTTAAGATAGGCCTTCAATTGAGTCTTAATTTAGCATTTTTTAATGTCTCCAGTTTCTACATCCGAGCCTTCGCTTTCGCTGGAGGAATCTAAAATTATTGCTAGGTTGCTTATAAGACTTCTAGCAGTACTTGTTGAGGGTTTATCAATGTTGCTTGATATACTACCTAACCGTTTAGCGCCTGTAGTTAAAAGCCGGTTATTGTCCGCACCCTGGTTATACAGACTTAGAGCCATTTCAACAATATTAGACTGGACTCTCTGCCCATGTACACATTCGCATTCGCCAAACATTCGTATCATTTGATGCGATCGATTGCGAATGCGTAAAATATTGCGAATCATTCACATAACGAATGCGAATGCAAATATTCGCCACATCCCTGGTTTGGACTTAGCTGAGGCCCTAAACAAACGCCCTAAAATTATTTCACACATTGCATAATATTGATTTGTTACAAAATGTAGATACAGTGCCTCAAACAAATGACCACGCCGTCACCAAAAAATATTTATTAAAAATCAACGCGATTTTTTAACGGGTTTAAACTTGCACTTCAAAAGACTAAAATTGTATGGGCTACAAAACTGCGTACCCAAAAAATTTTCTAAAGATTCAGATTTAAAAATGTGCAATTTTGATGAAAATGTGTGGAATTTTCCTAAATTATGTATAAAGTACGGTTTTGGGCAAAGCTTGGGCAACGTTTTTATACAAAACTACCAAAAAAATACAACTTGAAAACATTATGAATATTAAAACAAAAAATTCAACACATGGTCGATTGCTTGAGTCACTGTATGGACAAAATATTGAGTTGTTACGAAATGTATTATTGTACATATGTCATTATTCAAATAGGTATTTTCCTGATATTTTGTATTGTACATATAAAATATATAATTCAAAAGGTCTCACCTGCATCGTAGTGTGCATTAGTCATTGTTACGAGACCGGCAATTTCGCCAGGATAGCTGCTGTTTGGCGGCAAATAGGCGTCTGGCGTTTTTGTTACCACAGTTTCCAAACCATTGAGTATCGTTTCGGCATCAAAATCATTACCAGACCTAAGCAATAAAACACTCTTATCCATGCCCAGCAAGCCAACATATGAGTTAGGATCGGTATCCACAGTTATAGAAATAAAACTACCAGGTTTAACGGTTTCAGGTGTGTCAATGGAAATCTTAAAAATTTAAGCCAATTCATAACAAATGCGAAAATGAGTAAAAAGTTTTTTTTTTTTACTTACACTATTTTCAAATTGCTTTTCTACTGAAAATGTAGTCTCGTAATAGAACATTTTGCCATTTTTGAAAAAATAAGCAAAAATATGCGCTTTTGGCATCATTTCATGTGTTGGTGTAATAGAGAATTGATGCGTTTGGGTGCTGCCGCCGCTGGGCACTTGTATGACATTATTATAAACGATATTGCCACGTCCAACAATCACAAAAACAAAGCTAGAAAATGATTCATGCGCTACCAGACGTATTTCCATAGGGCTACCCACCGTTGGACTGAAAAAGTAACAAACGTTTTTTTAATCATTAAATTTGTTTTGCTGACCTCCCTGGTTTGAACTCCAAATTCGAACTCGTTCGTTTATCTTACTTTTGCGTTTTCACGTAGACTCCACCTTGACTGCCATTACTTCGTTGAGAGAGCTTAATTTCCCCCAACGATGTTTCTCCATTATATTCGATCGTTATATTGACATTAGTGTAGTTTGAACACGTAATTTCCGCTTCAACATCACCATTTTCATCGGCATAACTAACAATTTTCGAAGGTTCTTCATTCACGTCCACATCGAGTTTCACATAAATTTCTTCATCGACATCAACCGGCGTTGCATTGAGGTGTGTAATACGCGCACGATAGGTGAATGTGTCGCTTGGCCCATCACATTCGTGCGCCATTGACGGTGTGTCGATTAAATAACGTTTGGCCAAAATACTCACTGTTTTCGAAACTGTACGCTGGGTTAAGGTGACAGTATCTTCTATGGTGGCATTTATTTGGATCCTCTGAATTTTCTTGCCAAATTCACTTAGTTGAAGAGACAGTTCTTTTTTTCCATCAATCAGTGGAAATTCCCGTTCGATGGGAGGTCGCTCTCCCTTTGAGATGATCTTTAATAGACAGTTTCCCGATATAGGTTTGCCAAAAGTGTAGCTGGAAAAATAATGGTAATTATGCAACTTAAGTTTTAGTTATCTATGAGTGATTTGCAGTTAGTCTGCTTACCACATAAAATTGTACTAATCTATTAATTATTCTGAAGATCCTCCAACTATCCAACGACTCACAATCTATTGGTGACTGGACTCAAATTTGTGATCAATGGCGCTGTAATCGCCTAAGCGAATTTGGCCGAGTCCAAAACAGCACGCCAGTCATTTCTCTTCTGTGCCAACTGACGCCAATTGGAAATGCCAAGTAANGCAGCACTATGTCCAATATTGCTGTAATAAGCTATGGCTTTTACTCTATAATCCTCAAGACCCAAAAAGGGAATGTGGGTAAAGCCCAAAACATAGACGGCAATGCGAGTAAACTCACAGAAACAAATCCGCTGTCTCAAAACGGTTCTATAACAAAGATAACTGAACCATCTCGCACCAGGAAGGCTTGGATAGACCAATGGATACTCTCCCTTTGACATCACAACCACAGATAGGGCAGGGACAGTGAGACGAGTTTTTAGCCTATAAACCAAAGCTATTGAGAATGGTGTCCTGCACTAGGACTACGAAGACGTTGACAAAATTGTAGAAGCATTCTAGGAAGACAGGCTAAAAGCAATGGATGGTGCAACACAGGGTTTGCGAACTCAACTCTAATGCATATCATGACGTATCAACCCCAGTGGCGGTAGATAAGATTTTAATAAAGAATCCCTCTTCGTATATTGTACTCACACAGTTTAGTGACGACTATACAGTGAGTATGAGTGTGGAATTTAGGTCTGAATACATAATTATGCCGACGCAACTGAAAGAGTGAGCAGACATACCTTACCTAAATTAGAGCGTACATCCAACGCACTTGAGGCCCTGATATCATCCTCCAGCGACAAAGTCTGTTCACGTTCAAGGGGCAAAAGGCGACTCCATTGGTGGAATCCCGAGATCTCCTCCCTAAGGCGAACCAGCAGGAAGCTTTTAAATCTAGCGAAACAAACTGGATGTTGGCAACCCTACAAAGATGCTTTCAAAGCCTATAAGAGTTCAGTACGAACAGCTCAAAGAGAATCTTGGAGAACTTTCTACGGCAACATTGAGGAAACCTCTAAGGGCAACCGACTACGGAAGGTCCTATCTAAAACTCCAGTTGCCGCAAACTATATCCAAGAACCTTTCGTGCCGACTGCTTGCTGAGATCTTTAAGGCTTGCCTTCGCCTTTGTCACATTCCTAGAGGATGGGCGTTTGGTAAACACTTAAAAAAAAAAAAAAAATGACATGCTTCTGTATGTGGTACTCCTACACGAATACTCGTATGTACACATGTAAGCTCGCACCATGTACTACTTATCACTGTATGTCGCAATAGATGTTATCAGAGACGAGTTGACGCGTCATTACTAATTGCTTTAAGTAACAAGCCAATCAGACGATGCCAATTTTATTGCGAATTCCCGGAACGAATTCGAATTCAGAAATTGAAATCATTCGAGTAAATAATTTACATAGAAGGAAGGTGTCATCATCTAAAAAATCAAAAACTCGAGAAAAACTATTTCAGAATTCGGTTCAAAAACGCCCTATCTCAGATTCAAAAACGCCTTTTATGAATATATTTTCAGTTGGGATAGGGCGTTCTTGCACCAAATTCTGAAGGGGGGTGTTCTTGAGCCATTTTTTGATATAGGGCGTTTTCGAACCGGCTGCCGAGAACAGTCGACCTTCCACTCTCTCGTACGATATACTCCCATAAAAAAATGAATACATTTTTGGTTGTAATGAGAAACTGGTAATCGATACAGCTACGAAATTTTTACACAATATTGAAGAAAAGGTAGCGATAATTTCAATTTCTTATTTTTATTTTTTTTTTATTGTGATACTCTTGCAGCAAATGTACTTACTGCGCCCGTACTGTTACAAGAAACGATTCCTGATTAAAAGACACATGACTGGGTGCATCCAATTCCACCTCAAATAAGGGCAGCTCATATTCTTTAATTTCAAAAACTTTTTCTGCCAACTTGATATCTCCTTGAAAAACCTCCATAGACCACATACCCGAGACGACAGACTCAGCTAATTTTAGTTTTCCCTTGAAGACGCCAGTATTGAGTACAATATCACTAAAACGCTGAATGCGATTATTCTCAGAATCCTATAAAAGAAAAAAAAAACACTAGACCACAATAATAAATTCCCATATGATGCTTATCTCACCTTCATTAGCACAGATAGGGGTTGGTTGACCTTCGCCGGTAATAAATACTGATCTAAGAATATTACACGGAACTGTATCGTCTCTCCATGTTTATACATTGCCTTATCAGTTTGCAAGTATGCCCGCGGCAAATTGTCTACAAATTCCAAATTCGTTGCATTTTCGAAGAGAATTCCCGACAGCCCCTTGGCTTCTAAAGTGTATGTGCCCATTGCAATATTGGCCAAGTCAAATGTTACACTGCGCACAGAGTTCGACGGCACATCGATTTCTGTAAACTCTATGTAATTTTGTGGTCCTTTTAGAGTAATTCCGATTTTCGCATTCATCGGCACATCTGATACACTCACATGTGTGGTGTATTTAGAGTTGGGCCGTATAGAGCCGGGTGCTGCTATTGTATAATATCCTTGTGCCTGTACATAACTCACGATTACCGTAAGCACAAAAACGAATATGCCGAGCTGTTTAGAAAACGTGTGCATTGCGAATGATGCGAAATTAAGTACTAAATTGCAATTGAATTGAATTTGAAATTTACAGATTAGATTACAGATGCATTTCCGTATACATGGAATTGTAACAGTCAATTTGCTTACACATAAATATGTACTAATGTATAATGAGCCGCTATCCCTATGGAAAATCCTCAAGTTATAGCTAGCGCGCTTCTAGTGTTCTTGGAAATCAACTACGAAAGTTGAAATTGAGTTGCGCATGCAAAGTTAGCGAATCTGTCGATAGATCTAGAAAAGCGGAATTCCCAATATTCTTTTTATATATTTACATAGAGGGGGCTATCGATAATACTGCCTATGGCTCTATATCAAGGGCATCAGTTCCCTTCTACTGTGTGCTGGATCGACGCTGTGGTTCTTGAACGTGAAATCACATCTTCCCTGGGCAACACTCAAATTAGGATCAGAGCCATGAGAGGTGTCCTTTATTCCTTGCCCTGATCACTTCAATGCAGTAGACGATCTCGTAATCAGACTAAATGAGTATGGTTATATTACTGCTGGATACGCAAATTTCCTGGGGATTATTCGGCAGTAGTGTCGGACGTAGTGCAGTGTTTCGTGTGGTCTAAAACTCCCGTTTATAGCAAGCAAGGTATAAACCATATTCTGGGTCAGCCTTTCTTGGCGAGATGCTCAGGGACTACGTTAGATAAGAACGCCCCTCCCTAAAAATAATGCTATCAAAGCTAAACCAACCAAGAGAAGTATGCTTTTGTAAAAAGTTTTAAGTTATATTCATCATATTCTTACTTAACAAATTCTTCTTCAGCTAAAGGGAACGCTGGTCGTTTTTTTTTTACTGAAAATCTGTAGTTAACTGCCGATTCTGAGTTAACTACGCACTGTGAATTTGGCCCTAAGTCTCATGAGAATAGTAATTCACTCTCATTTTCACCGTCTAATTAGCAATGAGAGTGGGTATTCAATCTTATCATGAACCAAAAAGACAAGATCACGACAGCAGAAAAGTGGCCCGTTATAATCGCACTTATGAAAAAAGTAGGGCGATTTTGACA